CCCCCTCTGCTTCTGACTGGTTGTTTTAGGGTGAGCCTAGGAGCCCCCCGGCCCCTCTTCCCCCTCCCAGCCCTCCCCATGCTCCCGCCGTGGAGTTGCAGCTGTGTTCACCATAACATTTTTTTGTCTGTAGTGTGTGATGATGAAATTGTTCATTGTGAATAGAATCAGGATTATAAACTAATTTTTAATAGAAGAAGAGAAGAAAAAAAAAAGTATATACTTAAAAAAAAATGTATTTATGGCTCAGATGTACTGTAATTCAGATTTATTGTACCGCTTCCTTGATTTTTAACTATGCACTGTAATGAGGCACTTGCCACTCAGCAAATGGGGGGTCAGAGCAGTCACAGAGCTGACATTCCCCTGCCTCCCCTGCTGGCAAACCGGGGTGCTCGGTGCTTGCCCCGGGGTCACCCCCTTTGCTGTCAAAGCCATTCTTCGTGCTGGCATGGCCCGAGCCCCCCAGCATCACCCCCGTGCTGAGCTGGGTCCTGGTGGGTGATGGGTGCAGCTGTGGAGGCTGCAGAGGGTGGGAGAGGGATGCCCTGCCTGCAGCCAGTGCTGCTCTGGCCTCTGCTGCCTTTGAGCCAGGAGAGAGGGGCTGGGGGGCTGCAGCCAGCTGGGCACAGGGCTCCTGCTGGCACAGCCTGGGGATGGATGTCTCTGGTCCGTGCAGAGGAGCTGGCTCCTCTCCAGCTCCTTGGATGGTTGGGAGACTGGCCAGGCCCTGTGGCTTGATCCACACTGGCTCCCACACCCTGCAAAGCAAGCGGGGCGAGAAGACCTGTCCGTGTTCCCACTGGGCAGCCGGCCCCAAATCCAGCCCAAAGCCCCAAACCCAGAGGAGCAGGGCACAGCACCCACCCTGAGCACCCACCCAGCACCCTGCCCTGTAGCTGATAAGCCATACACGTCCCAGCACCCACCCGCACCCCGGATCCGTCCTGCACCCGCCAGCGCCCCGGGGCACAGCTCTGCCTCTGGATTTAAGTGTAAAATGTACCTGTGGACTTGCCCTCCGTGTGTGGGTGTGGTGGGAAGGGCACACAGCCCCCCACCAGCCGGAGCAAAGCCCACCAGCAGCCAGCCAGAGGCTCTGTTTTCCCAAGGGAGCGGGAACCTTGCTGCTCCTCGAGCCATTGCCACCTTCTCCTTTTGTTTTTGAGCCCCAGAGACCACTAGGGATTCAGCCATCCTCTGTAGATAGAATATTATAGCCTTAATTATGCCAATAGATAGATTAGAGTCTCCTGGGGTCTCCCCTCCCCGTGACCTGGGGGTTTTATCCCCGGCTCCCCGGGCACATTCCGTCCTGCAGGGAGAGTGACCAGAGGCTGGGAAATGGCACCAGATGTGATGCCAGGAGCCAGAGCCCTGCCAGGGCGGCCCCTGGGGTGCAGCTGGGCTCTGGCAGGAGCAGGGATGCCAGCAGCACCCACACCAGCACAGCTCCCTGGCTGCTCCCCTCGGCAGAGCCATGGTTCTGCCGACAGCCAGCCCGGCAGTGCCCGCAGGTCACCGTGGGGTGCCCAGGCTGCCAGCGGTGCCCATCACTGCCAGGGAACAGTCCTTGTGCCATTCCAGCCTCAGCAGTGAAATCTGGCCTCTCTCCTCCCCAAAATCCCCCGGTTCTCATCCCACCTTAGCGACCACGAGCAGCTCTGGCCGAGACTGAGCATCTGCTATTGGCAATTGCCTCATTGTAGCTTTGCCTTTTTCTGTCCTAGTATTTCCTCACGATGATGATGTTTACATGTGATTGCTATAGAGCTTATGTAGAATGTATATAGCGACACATTTAGGGTGGGTAGTACTGTCCTGTGCTGTGCTGATGTTTTTCAGGAAACGATCAATCCAAAAAAAAAAAACCACAAAAAAAACCAAGTTAGAAAAAAAAAGAAAAAGAAAGAAAAAAACAAAAAAGAGAAGCAAATTAAGTGGAATTCTTCCATCTCCCACTCAGCTGGGGGCACCCATGGCTGGGCCCTGCTGGGGATGCATCAAGGGTGGTGGAGGGGAAGGGTCAGTGCAGAGCTGGGGGGGCTCCAGCCCACTCCAGGGGATCACTCAGTCACTTCCCAGACACTGGTTTTGGTGTACCCAGATCCAGAATTTCCCAGTGTTTTCCTGTGGCTGGGTGCCCTGGGTCAGCCCCAGCCCAGCTGCTGGGTCCCAAGGCCAGTGCTGGGGAAGGAGAGAGCTGGTCCTGCACAGAGCTCATCAGTACTGCAGCCCCAGGGTAGGAGGAGATGCAATAAGTGGTCTTTGTGGTGCCTGAAGCCTATAAGTGGGGTTGGGTTTTCTTTTTTTTTTTCTTTTTTTTTTTCTTTTCTTTTTTTTTGTGTGTGTGTGTTTTTTTGTGGGTTTTTTTTCTTTTTTTGGGTTTTTTTTTTTTTTACATTTTTTTCTGTTCACTTGGGATGGTTTGTTTTCCCTCCTCCCCAACAAAAATCTTTCTTTTCCAGATTTATGCACTATGCTTAGAGCCCCTTGGGCTGTCTGCTGCCTGCCCTGGGGCTTCCCCCACCTTTTAGGACTGGGTGAAATGTAAATTTCCACTTGATTTCCTTTTTTTTTTTTTTTTTTTTTTTTTAATTTTATGGGTTTTTTTACTCTAAAGGTGTCTTTAGCTCACAGTGCTCGAGTCTGCAGGTAGGTGGGTCGGGCACAGGGGCAGGTGAGAGCTCCCTCCTGAGCTGCCTATAAGGTTTGGGTGCTGACAGGGAAATGGGGCAGGAGAAACTGGGAGCCAAAGGGTTTATTCTGGTAGGCAATAAGTCAGGAGGAGATTTATTTTTTTAAAACTGTGTAAGTATAGAACGTCTCCCAGCCGTTTCCTGCAGGTGCTGTGGGGGAAATGCTGAATGTGTGAAGAGTTTCTGATAAAATGCCCCTTTGCTTGTTTTGCACAGGTTTGCCCCAGAAAAACTCGGTGTTCAGGGTGGGGCAGCAGGTTTCTGGCTGGAATCCAGCGTGTCCCTGTTTCTCCACGGAGAAACACAGTTTCTGAGTGTGTGGGCTGAATGCAGAGGACAATCCCAGGTTTTAGGTGGGATGCTGCCCCAAAGCAAAGCTTTCTCTCATTTCCTCAGCGCCCGAAGGCTGCACATCCTGCAGGAAGCAGCAGCGCAGTCACCACGTTGCGGTGCTGAGCCTGATCTCAGCTCTGCACCGTGCAGTGAGTTTTGCAATTGCAGATCAACACGGTTTTTCCTTTTTTGGGGGATTTTTTATTCTTTCTGGAGGTCTGCTGAGTCCTGAGGTGCCCCGGCGTTGGAGCTGAACCCGACGCCCGTTCTGTTCTAAGTCCGTCCCTGACAATCTCAAGCAATACAGAGCCAAATGCAGCTTTGGGGTTTCATTTTGGGGTTTCATTTTGGGGTTTCATTTTGGGGTTTCATTCCTCTTCCCTCGCCCTCCCCGGGGCCAGGGGCAGCAGCAGGAGCTGGGGAGGGAGTGTGTGAGTGCATGTGAGAAAGAGAGAGAACGGTTCAATTGATGCATTTCTTCAGACAGGTGTAAGAATTTCACCTAAAAAGGGGCACATCTGCATTGTTATTTATATATTAAAAAGCTAAATTCTGTGTTTTTCTTCTTTTTTTTTTTTTAATGTAAAAGGACACTGCTCATAATTATTAGGGGCCAATTCTGCCTCTGTTGCTCATGCTAAGTACAACGTAACCCTGCAATTTTCTACTTGCAGAGTAAGTAAAAGCAGCAGAATTGATCCCTCTATGATTAAGAATCAAGTTTTTAGTATTTTTTTTTTAATTGGTAGTGGTTTTTTTATATTTCACTTAATTTTCCCCCCAGTTCCGTTCTGTTGTGTCCTTATTTATGTAATATACTTTAACCTTAAAAGATGGCATGGATTCGTATGCCTTTCCTTTATTATTATTATTATTATTTTTAAAAAAGAGGAGATTTATTTCTAGTGTGATTTAACTGTCTACCTTCTAAAATGAGAGAACGTTTTCTTGTATTTTTACATTGTCAGATTCTATAGTTTCATAGATAATTTAACCAAATCGCTCAATGTATTCTCTATATCTATCCAGTGGGTATAAAAGTTCTATTTTAAATTGTGTAAATACTTCAGAACTGGCTTCTTTTTCCAGACTCCCCTGCCGTGGAGTTTCTTGTTTACATCAAAAAGACTGTAGAATCTCTACGCTCATGTACTGTAAATAGTGAAGTGATCTGCCTATAAATAAACGATAACATATATACTATAAAGTGGAAAGAACAAAAAAAGGAACCAGTTTGTGCTGCTGTACTTCAGTTTCTAGTGAAAGTCTGCTCGGGGTGAGGTGTTTTGCCCTGCCTGGCTGGCAGTGGGGCTGTGCCAGGGCCAGGAGGGTGGCAGAGGCTCCCCGCTGCCAGGGATGCAGCTCCTGCCTGGGAATATTGCTGAGTGTTGCTATTTTACGTGTGGCTTCTCCCAGTTTAAGTCATGCAGGGAAAATCTGAGCTCTGCAATCTCGACTTTGAGAGGTGCCAGTGCCACAGGACCCTCCTGAAGAAACTCCAGATGGAGTGGGTGAAAAATGAAGCGGGGCCTGCTCCTCCGAATTTCTGGAGTGGAGTAAGAGAGCAGGTAAAAATGTGGAAAAGACTCCAGGTGGTGATGCAGCAGCTGTGCAACTGAGGATGGCAGCTGGAGAGGCACTGAGGCCAGGAGAGCAGGCCCTGGGAACCAGAGTGCTCTCCCAGGGGCACGGAGTGTCCTGGTGTCCTGGTGTCCTGGTGTGGTGCCCTGGTGTCCTCGTGTCCTGGTGTCCTGGTGTGGTGTCCTGATGTCCTGGTGTCCTGGTGTGGTGTCCTGGTGTCCTGGTGTCCTGGTGTCCTGATGTCCTGATGTCCTGGTGTCCTGGTGTCCTCGAGTCTTGGTGTCCTGGTGCCCTGATGTCGTGTCCTGGTGTGGTGTCCTGCTGCCCTGGTGCCCTGGTGCCCTGGTGTCCTGGTGTTCCGGTCCTTGTGGCAGTCCAGGCTGTGGAAGGGATGTTTGGAATGCCGGGGCAGGCACAGCTCCCCCGTGCCAGCCGTGCCCTGTGAGGGCTCCCCAGGCTGCAGAGGTGGCACTGGTTTTATCCAGACCCTGGGCCAGGGAAGCTGCCGGGCTGGGGAATCCCAGCAGCCCAAAAGGAGCAGCTCTGCGAGGTGCTGAGCTGTGCCACTGCTGGATTTTGGTGACTGGCACCGATTCAGGCCGCAGCTCTACACCTGCCTGTCCCCAGCACATCTGTGGGAGCCCAGTGTGGGTCCCCCAGCCTGGGCACAGAGCTGGAACCTGCCTCCCACCCCAAAGCCAGCCCCTCGTCCCTGCCACTGCTGCAGCCAGAGTGCAGAGCTGATGGGAAGCCCATTCCCTGCTGCTTTCCAAAACCAGCAGGCATCAAGGCCACCAAAGAGGAATGTTTCTGAGATACATCAGGCACTGTGATGCCAGTAGTGCCCAGACAGATGAAAACATGAATTTGGAGGGGGGAAATGTGGGAATGCAGCAGGCACAGCCAGTGATGGGGTGCCCGGGGTGGGCACACGTGGAGCAGAGATACAGGAGTGGGGTCCCAGGGGGGAGAACAAGGGAAGGGTCTGCAGGAAGGGACAGACCCAGAGCTGACATTTGTCCTCCCAGCCCGACCTGTGCCTCCAACACTGCATTCCCAGGCAGGCAGCCTGCTGGAAAATAAGGCCACTGCTCTGTTTATTGAATACAATTGTTTCTCGAGGGTAATTCCTGCAAGCAGACCTAGAGTCTGTCTGAAGGGAACTCTTGGTGAATGTGGACATCAGTTCAACAGTTCCCTTGGTCCCAGCAATTACTTCCAACCATTTGGGAAAAAACCCAGCTGTCCTGTTTTTATTTTGGCAGAACTTTGTGATAAAACAACTCCTTTTCATACAGACAGGCGCTGTTTTGGAGTAGCTCATGTGGCTGCTGGAAGGGAGAGAGCAGTGTTATTTATGTCCCTGCACGGTGTGCCTCATGGGAGGGGAAAATCAGTCACTCAGGAGCTTTTGTGAACAGGGACAGCTTTGGTCACTGCCTTGGGCTGGCTGGCACCTGGCAGTGTGGGCAGCTCACCCCAGGCTGTGCTCCTGACCTGTGTGGAATGCCCACTGGGTGGACTTCATTTCACTGCCTGCTGAGCTGTCCTGGGCTGCTTTTTGGACTCTCAGCTCCCACTGTGCCCTGAGCAGTGGCACCTGACACCAAATCCTGCTCTGGGCTCTGCTGGCACGGGAGCAGCCTGACAGGAACCTCAGCTTTGTGCCGCACAAGGTCTGCCCAGGGCTCTGGAGGCTGCACTTAGTAACCCACACAATGCCCACGCAGCATTTATCAGTCCCAGGCTGTTGTCCAGCTCCATCCAGGTGTCTTTGCAGGGAGGAACAGCTTTGGTTGCTTTGCCCTCTGGCTGCTGGTCCAGCTGTGCCAGGCTCCCTGCCCACAAGGATTCTTCCCAGCTTTCCTTCCTGCCTCATTTCCTGACCCATCACAGCAGGGCTGGACCTTCTGCCATGCTGCCCCTGCAGTGTCCAAGCTCTCAGCCTCGAGCTGCTGCAAGGACTTTGTCCTGCTGTCACCGAAAATGGGGAGTTAAACTCTCTAACACTACAATTTCAAGATTAGAACGTGGCAATGTTTTATTTCAGCCCCAGGCAGGTGGGGCATAATTCCCTATTACACACACCACACCTTGCTCACAGACCAGCTTTATGTAGCTTTTACATACCCAGTACATTTCCCCAGACTCATACCTATATGCTAAACACTCCCTGAATTTTTTGCATGTTTAAATCACTTCTCAGAGTTTATTTTCATTGGAGAGGAGCTCTTATGAGGGTCTTGGGTAGTCGTTTGGGGAACATCCCATTTCTCCAACTATTTTTTGGTCACAGATTAAAAATGCTTCTTCTCTTTGAATGCATCCCATTGCTGGTGTGATAAATACATTTTTTATTCTTGACTTTACACAAATACTAAGATGAATGCTCTATGTATACTGTTAAAATAACTTTGCTTTTATTTCTGCTATTAACAAAAAACTTAGACACAGTAGTAGTTACGAGTGAACTGTCTTTTGGGTCGGGATAACATCCAGCGAAGATGTAATGAGGAGCCTGCTATCGATATGCCAACTATCAGCATCTGCCATTTGAAGGAAGTATGTGCCAAGGCCCAGACTGGAAGTGATAAGGAGAAGGAGCCAAAACCACAGCCAGGAAACACACATGCTCTAAAAAAGCGGACCCAAGGAGGGGCCATGCAAAATAGTTCCTGGAATATGTGAACTAGTTGACAGGAAAATATGAATATATATAAGGATCTATGAGTATGCAACAAGCTGATGTAATGGAAAAGGTATTTAAGGGGCGTGCCTGAATGTAAAGGTGTGCTCTTCACTGGTGCCAAGATGCACCACACTTTGCTTTACTGTCTTAGTCTCCTATTGTACTTTATTAAACTTTTTAAATTTTCACAGGAGAGTGAATATGTTTTTCACACTGTGGTCTGACCAAGATATTAGTTTCTAACCAAGGTATTAGTTTTACCAGTATTGCTCAGTCTTTATGGCTGAGATAACACAAGGCACACAGGACAGAGCCTGTCCGGTAAACCAAAAGGACTTCCAAAAGATTTAAATGAACACAATTTATGGCAACTTTTTTATCAACACTGAGACAGCCAACGCTCCTAGCCAGATAGCCCTGAGAAGCAGGAAGCTGCAGAGAGGGGAAGGATGTCACTCCCTTGCAAAAGAGAGGAGCCAGCAGCTTTTAGCCCACGGGGTATCCTCCTCACTGCCCGCATTCGGTTTCGTTTCCCAGCGGAGCTCTGCTCCCAGCCCTGCCCGGAGCTGCAGCGCCATGGCCCAGGCCCAGGCTATGGCCGGGCTGAAGGAGGAGCTGAGAAAATATTATTAACATATGGACTCTGAATAGAAGAAAAGACTGACTGCTGAAATCTTGGCCTCAGGCGGAATTTTCCCTATAAAAACCGCTTGTGCCAGGATGGAGGTGTGTGGGCATGGAGGAAAACCTCTGCTGAGGCTGACTCCTTGTTGCACACCCAGGGCCGACCCCGGGCTCGGCCCTGTTCTTTCCTTGTGGCTGGCTAGGTAGAATTTGCTTGCAAAATAAATATTTTATTTTTCATATGAATTTGGCTGGACAAATTTCCATTTATAACACAACTTTATCTCAGCACTGAGACAGGCACAGCCCCTCCCGCGTGTCCCCTGAGGGAGGAAGCTGCAGAGACGGGCAGGAAGACCCTCCCTGGCCAGGGGGAGGAGGCAGCGGCCTTCAGCCCATTGGGTTAAAGTTCTGTGCTCGTCACTGCTGTGTTTCGATTATTTCCCTTCCCGGCAGAGCTCGGCAAGTCCGGCCTGCCCGGAGCTGCAGCGCCATGGCCCAGGCCCAGGCTATGGCCGGGCTGAAGGAGGAGCTGACCTGTCCCATCTGCCTGGAGATCTACAAGGAGCCCGTGGCCGTGGGCTGCAGCCACAGCTTCTGCAGGGACTGCGTCAAGCAGGCGCTGCGGGCCCAGCAGAGCCCGGCCCGCTGCCCGCTCTGCCACTCGCCCGTCGGGGAGCTGCGGCCCAACTTCCACCTCCGCAGCATCGTGCAGAGGTTCATGGAAGCTCCCGCCCAGCAAGAGGAGGAAAAGCAGGACGGGCAAGGCGAGAAGGAGGAGGTCCAGTGCGATTTCTGCCTCCAGGACCCCCAGCCCGCGGTGAAGACGTGCCTGAGCTGTGAAGCCTCGCTGTGCCAGGCGCACCTGACCAGGCACAACAGCAAGAAGGACCAGAAGGGCCATGTGCTGGTGGAGCCCTGCGATGGGCAGCTTTTGGCTGAGAGGAGATGCCCCCAGCACGGCAAACTGCTGGAGTGCTTCTGTGAGAATGACTGGCAGTGCATCTGCGTCCTCTGCTCTGTCATCTCCCACAAGAACCACAAGATCATCAGCTTGGAGGAGGCTTTCAGGGCAGCCCAGGTAGGAGGCGGCTGGGGCGGGGGGACTGGCATGGATTGCACCAGGGAAAGCCCAGGGAGCTGCCCAGGCACAGGGCCGGCTCCTGAGATGGAGAACTGCGTTCCCAGCATGGGGCTATGTTGCAGTGCTGGGCTCTCATTCTTAGTTTTGTCACAGATTCTCTCTGGGTTTAGCCCTTGAGATATAAAACAAGATGTTGTAAATGCTTTTTTCCCCTCCTGTGGGAAGAGTTTGGCCAAACTGGTGGGACTGAGTGCTCGTGCAAGGTTTTAGTCCTTGGTGCACCTCCAAGGCAGAGATGAGCCTCAGCTGCACTTATGCAAAGATAATTAATGACAGAGTAACAGAAAGAAAGGTGCCAACAGGGAAATAGCTTTATATGTGGTTAGTGCACATTAACAGTTTTCAGCTTCAGGTTGGCCTTTTGTCCTTGTAATTGTGGCATTTCTTCAGGGATAAAACCTTCCAGTGAACTTTTATCTATTTGTCCTGAGAGCATGCAATGAGCAAACCTTTAGCAAGTCTAACTTAACCCCTGTGAATAAAACTGCTGATCTCGTGCATTATGCCAGTCCTATCCTCATATCTCCTTCTGGTGATTTTGTAGGTATCTTTTCCTGGGACTCTGGAAACACTGAAAAACCATGAAGCTGCAGTGGATAAAGCCATAGCAAACCTGCTGAAACAAAAGGAGGGACTAAAGGTTTGTTTCAAGCTCCCCTATCACCTTGGGGTGGTTGCTTGCTGGTAAATGATGAGACAGAGTTTTCATTTGCCCTTCCCCAGATCATGGATTCTGAAGCTTTTTTTAGTTCCTGGGTGGTTTCTCGTGTATTTTTGAGGTTTCTTCTTTGAGGAAGGATGCATAACTTTCTTACCAGTCTGGGAGGTCTGTTCTTAGTTACACTTAAAACTCTGTGCCTCCTGATGAATGGCTGGTGTGTGGCTTTTTAGTTTTCCAACCTTCAACATTTAGTTACTTCTTTCATCCCAGAAAAAGGGCAGATTTTTATGTAAGGGAGAGCTGATGTGGAAAATGTCCCTTACAAATTTGAAATTGTTTCCTTAACAGACTGATGTGAGCCAGCGGAGGGAACAGCTGGAGAGCCTGTTCAGGGAGATGTATACGGAGCTAGAGAAGAAAAAAGGGGAAGTCCTGAAAGTTCTCAGTGACTATGAGGAAGAACAACTTTCCAATATTCAGGCAGAGATGAATAATCACAAGAGCATGAAGGAGTTGGCCAGCCAGGATGTTCAGGAGCTGGAGGCTCTGAGAAATCAGAAGGACACTCTTCTTTTCACCAAGGTACCTACCAGCATCCCCCTTCCCAGAGACACACAGCTCCACGGCTGGCCTGCCCTGTGCTAATTCTGCTTTCAAACTGTCTTTCCAGGCTTTTGCAGTGATGAAAGGCAGGTAAGTGTTGCCGAGGTTGGGTATCCGTAGTGCCGATGGGGACGAGGGGACGGAGCGCGCTGGCAGCGAGCTCCAGGCAGCACTGAGGCAGGCAGGAGCGTGGCTGTGCTGGAGGGGAGGGAGCCCTGCACAGGGCTCAGGACAGGCTGGAGCCACGGGCCAAGGGCAGCACTGGGAGGATCAGGGTGGCAAAGTGCCACACTGATCCTCACAACAATCTCACGCAGTTCCAGGCTGGGCAGCAGTGACTGCAAAGCTGCCTGGCAGGAAAGCAACTGGGAATGCTGCTCAATGTTGGCTGAACATGAGCCCAGGTGTGCCCAGGTGGGCAAGAGAGCACTGGCACCTGGCCTGGCCCAGCAATAGTGTGGCCAGTGACTGTCCCCTGTGCTGGCACTGCTGAGGTCACAGCAAGAGAGCTGTGTCCAGTTCTGGTCCCCTCAGAGGAAGAGATGTGGAGGGGCTGGAGCGTGCCCAGGGAAGGGAATGGAGCTGAGGAAGGGGCTGGTACAGCTTAGAGGGCTGGGAACGGGGCTCAGCCTGGAGAAAAGGAGGCTCAGGGGGGACCTTGTGGCTCTGCACAGCTCCTGACAGGAGGGGACAGCCAGGGGTTCAGGCTCTGCTCCCGGGAACAGGGACAGGAGGAGAGGGAACGGCCCCGGGCTGGGCCAGGGCAGGCTCAGGGTGGACATTAGCAGGAATTTCCCCATGGAAAGGTACTCAGGCCTTGGAACTGCTCAGGGAGGTTTGGATCCCCATCCCTGGAGTGTCCCAGGAAGGGCTGGAGCTGGCACTCTGGGCTGGGGACCATGTGGGCGTTGGTCACAGCTGGGACTCGATGGCCCTGGAGGTCTTTTCCCACCTCTGTGGTTCTGTGATTCCTTCTGCGTGTTTTAGGAAATGCAGGCCACTTCCTAGCATGGATGGTGTGATGGTGCCAAAGCCACTCATTACTTTGGATAAATCAACAACAGATAATGTTCTGAGACTTTTCCAACAATTCCTGTCAAACATGGAGGTCTCCTTTAAGCAGCCATCACCTTGGGGATGCGGAGCAGCACCTACTGGTAAGTGCTCATTTCACCATGAAAGCAAGATGGGGAAGTCAATAAAACCTGTAAAAAAGGACTAAAATGAGGCACCAAGTACAGTGAGTATCTCTAGAAGTGCTGATTCCTCACACTGTATGCTCATTTGCACATGTGTGTGCAGCAATGGGAGCTGGTCCCGGCATTCAGGACCTGGGGCCTGCCTTGAATATGCCTCGCTAAAGCAGGCTAGGGATGAAGGGGCTAGGAAGTGCCAGGAGTTTTCTGGGAGCATTAAGAGAAGATAATAGCAATAATTCTGAGGCATCCCTTTGATTCAAGGGGAATGTTGAGAACTTATCCCAGCAGCAGCAGGGTGGAGTTTGATGAGGATATTAATAACCTGGTCAGCTTTGTAAGCTCAACCTACATTCCCAGAGCTGTCCACACTGGACACTTGTCTGACTGAATTGGTGAAATCTGGGCTCCCTGGGGGCACTGCTTTCTGCATGGTGCTCCAAATCTCCACAGTTAGCTGTTAATCATAATGCATTTTTTATCTTTAGGTCCCTCGATTCTACTTGGTGGTATACCCTGCTCTGGATACACGTATGGATCTACCTCTGATTTTTCTTACAACTTTTTCTAACAAAATACAAATTCAGTGTCAATCATAATAACAATCATAGCAAGGAGGGAAGACAGAGAGAAAAGCCAACCAAAGCTCTCAATGCACAGCACAATTGCTCCCCATCACCTGCTCTCTGATGTCCAGCCATGTTGTGGCCATCTCCCCCCAGTTCTGGTTATGGTGTTCTGTGGTGTGGAATATCCCTTTGGCCAGTTTGGGTCAGCAGCCCCAGCTCTGCTCCTTCGCAGCTTTTTGTGCACATCCTCACTGGCAGAGCATGAGGCACAGAAAGCTCCTTGACTCCGGTCTAGCACTGCTCAGCCACTGCCAAACCATCAGTGTGTTACCAACGTTATTCCCTACTGAACCCAAAACTGCCAGCTGCTGAGAAGAGAAGTAACTCTCAGGAATGGAATTCTCATGATTAAAATGAACCCAGTCCCACTGGACAGAACTCCAGTACACACAGTGACATCCTAGAGCTGCTGGGAGGAGGACAGCAGCAAGGAGAGCTGCTGGAAGCTTGGGATTGTTTGTGCCTGGTTTGAACGCTGCTTGCGAATGCCTCACAATAACCTCTGTGAGTTCCTTAGGTTGAAGACAACAACAGCAGAAGAAACACTCTCTCTTTTCAAGATATGTCCATCAAGGCTGGACATCCTGCTAAGAACTTCAGGCTTGCAGAGACAGGAACCATTCCTTCCAAGTATCCCATCCATGCTGCCATCAGCGTTTTGGAGCTCTTGCAGTGATGTGGGGACAAGGTGTTGTTTTGTATTTCCAGGCCTAGAAATGGTGAGCCTTGCACGGAGGCTGTGCTGAGCTGGCACATCAGAAATTGGATTGTGGGCTGCTGTGAGAGGGCATATCACAGCACCCCTCCTCTTCCTGCAAGAGCTCTTGTTTTATTTGTTCTGTTAATCATAATGGAAATACCATTAAGTTGCTCGGTTTTGTTCAGCTGTTTCAAATACTGGTTGGCTTCATGTTAATAAAGTCACGTTATTAGCTTGTTAAACGTGATGGCAATTTATTTTATCTAAAAGTTGACAGCACAACAGTAACTGCTACAGAACCAGGCAGCAGCAATGCTGATTTTTGGTGTTAAGGCAGCAGCTCTTGCCTCTGTTGCCTCTTTCTGTCCTGCACACCCAGGGAAACAGCAGGACGGAGCACCCAGAACTTGGGAAGTTGATGGGAGCAGGAAACCACATCAGAGAGAGGAGAAATTGGCCTGGCACTGCTTAGGAGCAGACCTCTTCCTTGTTATCAACAGAAACCTGCCCCCTCTGCCCCCTCCCCACAGCTCTCAGGACCCCCCATCAACCCAAAACAAGGCTGAAGTTCTGTGTGCTTTTACAGGACTTGTGGCTATAGCTCTGTTCTGTCACTTGTGATAATCAACACACACCTGATTTCAGGGATTAAAAATAAACACATGTCCTGGCTTGTAAGATAAGCATGGATTCTATTTGCCATCTGTTGGAGGTGGGGCAGTTTTCTTATCTCTTCCAAGAACAATGTCTCCCTCCGGGGAGATATCTTATGTTAATGGGCCATGGAATGACTCCCTGCATGACTGGTAAAGTTACATCATCCCATGGTGAGATGCTCCACCCAGAGGGAGGAGCCAAGCAGCCATACCTGCATAAAATCAGCATTTTTGGGACATCAGGGCAGCCCCTTCGCTGGATTCCCAGAGAAGCAGCTTCTTCCCTGCTGGATCCCCAGAGGAAGACCAGGCCCATCTACTCCATCCCAGACCTTCAGAGCAAACTCCACCCTTCTCCAGATCCCCTCTCCAGCAGCATTTCATCTGCCACTCCAGGAGGAGCAGCCACCATTTCACTGGACTATTATCAACACTCTGACTCCTCAGGGTGTCAGGTTTCTGACTCCATCACTAGTTTTGTTTGCACTAATTACAATTTTTTAAAATTTTTATTTTGTTTTTTTTCCCAGTAAAAAACTGTTATTCCCATTCCCATATCTTTGCCTGAGAGCCTTTTTTAAAATTGTGGTAATTGGGAGGGATGGGGTTTACCTTTTCCATTTCACAGGAGGCTTTTGCCTTCATTCACAGACTCCCGTCTTTTTAAACCAAGACAACACAGCAGTGCACCTCAGACTGAGGGTAACATCTCTCCTCCTGGTTTGAATGGACTCTCCCAGCTGTGCTGCGTGCTCAGCCCTGGCTCTGCTGCACCCATCAATTGTCAGCAGAACAGAAAATGCGTGGCCAAATTTTGGGAGCTCAGCGGTTGCTCAAGGTGACTTTGCATTTATTCCTTCCTTCTCGAAGCCAGCAAGGCACAAAGGGCAGCTGCTCTCAGCCACTCCGATGAGGCAAAAGAATTGAGCCTGTCCTTCAGCACTGCCCTGACCTGGGCTTCTCTCTGTGCCAGCTGAAGGAGCTGGGAGCAGCCGGTGCATGGCACTGCTGCTGCTGCTGCAGCGTTCCTGCAGCGCTGCAAACCCCTGCAGACAGCAACCTTCACTCAAACCTGGGGTTTGTAATCCTGCTGCAGGCTCACAAAGCTTTTGGGTGAAAATGAGAATCTAGGAAGGTGGAAATTCTGAGCTGATGGTGCAGTTTAATTCCCCTATACATTTGCTTGTTTGCAAAGAGACTCCTTGGAATTTTTGACTCATTTTAATGTTCCATGCTTTAGCCTTGAGGAAGCAAAGACCTGAAAGACTGGTTGAAAGGAGCATAAGAAAATACACAGAATCCAGCAATTATTTGATTAAGCCTTCTAACACACATCAACACTCCGAAAATTTTATCAGCTAATTACTTCTTGACTCTAGGTGACAACATTGGACCGTGACACACAGTGGAAGTGCAGCAATTCTGCACAGATGTTAGTGCAGAACACTTTTTCTTGATTGCAGTATAATTATGACATGCATAGTCCTGAGATAAGGACAGAAGTTATTTCTTTTTGATATCTTTATGGCTTAAGTATTTTGATCACCTGAGAACTCTGATTCATTGCATCTTTCCTTTTGTATTACGCCCTCTCACCTCCAAGCACTCAATTTTTACTTGGCATTTGTCTCATCCTTGATGGAAGCCTTTAAAATCAGCTCATTTTAGCTCTTCTTTTTTTGATTTTGCCAAGAACTGGATGATGTGACTGAATTAAATTAAATGCATTTCAAGCATTAGGATGGGCCTCTTCCTGTTACTTAGTCTGATGGGTTTTCTAAGTCAGACCTGCCACATGCAGACCTCTGTGTGTGTGACATTAATTAGGGCCTTCCAAGCCCATCAGGTCAGGGTGGGGAGGAAGGTTTGTCCCAGCTCTGACAGAACTCACAGATGGGAACCAGGCAGTTCCATCTTCTCCATCTCCAAACTTAATGCAAGAATGTGCAAATCCAGGCCTGAATCTCAGTGCAGTGTGAGCTGTAGAGGGAGGGAAGGGCAAGGAGAGTAAATAACTTATTTTTAACCACTTTCAGCATAACTCAGCCATCCTCCCACGGAGCTGTACCAGCAGGACCAGGGCACTGGGCTGGGAGGTGCCAGGAGGATAGGACTGAAGGCAGGAGGCTCCTTACACACAAGGCTGGGAGCCAGGTGGCACAAAACAGCCGAGAGCTGGGGGAAATCCCAGGCTGCCTTTATCTGCGGAGTGATAACGCTGAGCTGGGAGCCTGGGAAAGACTGGGAAGAGCCAGGGAGAGGCACTGCCTGTGGGGTTTGTGGACAGAGGGCTGATAACAGCACCACAGGCAGAGCAATGAGCCAGGTGGCAGCAGGGCACCGTGGGGCTGGACAAAAGGCAAGGAGGGAGGGCTCCCAGGGCTGCCCAGGAGTATCTGCTCGGTGGAACAAAGCAATTTCCAGGATCATTTTGCAGTCTGACCAACTGGCCTGTGGAGATTTGATAGCCCAAAGATGATGTGGTGATCTGGAGAAGCAGCAGGTTTGCCAGGCAGGCTGAGTGGGACGGGCAGGTGGCACATGCTGGCATTTGTGTGTCAGCAAACCCCAGCTCCTTGGCAGGAGATTCTGGAGCGTGAGGAGCCCAAAGGCTCATTTCTCCAAGGCCAAAGGTTTCCTCAGCACAGAAATATATTAACCATAAAGCTTAATATACCTCAAGAAGAGGAAAGCAGTTGGAAGTGAAATTATTTAATTACCTTAAATAATTGCTTGGATTTTTTCCACCCATTTTAAAGAAAATCAGTCTGAAAGTAAGAAGAAAAAAAGACTAATTTTTTTTAAGGTCCAGAAATATAATAATGCTTGGGACTTTTTTCTTTTTATATCATGTTCCAAGAAGACATTATTTCTCTGTTTCTTCCATGAAGACATGATGTATTGGATGATCCAAGTTTTCCACAGCCTGTACTTCTAGAACAAGAATGAAAATTCTGGAACACCTGTTGCTTGGGTTTGTCATTTCTTATTAGGATTCTGCAGAGTCTCTGCACAATGCTTTGAATGCTTTTGTCATAGATGTCTCTCCTCCCAAGGTTTTGACTGGTTGTCTTGGAGTCACCATATACTTCAAACTCAATTAAAACTTCTGTGGAAGTCCCTAAAGGGATTGGGAAGTCAGTCACTGATGTTTTTGACTATGGACAGTCAGGGGAGAGGGAGGGAGCTCTTCTATTTCCATAGGAATTGCCTGTTCTGGTTACCATGACATCTAATAAACCCTCATGGAGAAGAGAAGTGTTTTCTATGGAAATACTCAGTATTTCTACAGGAAGATTTACAGCATTTGCTTAAGACTGAAAGACAAGAGCATGAATTCTGCAGGCTTGAAGTTGGCTTCATTTGCTCCAGCTGTGTATTGATGGGGTTTTATGACAGTTTGTATTCGAGGTTCCACCTGGAATGCAAATATTGGGCAATGTTTGACTTCAGATGAAACATCTGCTTTTCTGTGTGACTGGGAAAGGGAAGGCAGACAGGGCTGGGCATGGCCCCTCCGACCTCGAACCCCCAGCCCAGAGACCTTAACAGAAACCTGGGATTTTTAATACACACATTGCCAAGGATCCTTCAATCCTTCCCAGCTGTTCAATGAATCCCAGAGGTGTCCCAAAGCAAAAGGGGCCAGAGAGTGCCGGGGTTCCTCACCTGCACGAGGTTTAATCTCACTTCACCTGACATTACCAAGCCTATCCTTTCAGTTTAAAAGGTCCGAGTGCCCAGTGAAGGACCAGGAGCAGCCTTTTCCCTGGCTGCACACGCGGCATCCCTCGGGGAGCGCCCCGGGGCCGGGGGGATGGAAGGGGCGCGGCTCTGCCCGGCCCGGCCCTGCCCTGCCCGCGGCGGGGCGGTGCTGCCGGGACCGCCGCGGCTCTGTCGGTCTGTCTGTCCTTCCGGAACCCTGCCTGTCCGTGTGGCTGGCCCTCCGTCTGTGCCTCGCTCTGTAACTCTGCCTGTCCCTCCGTCTGTCTGTCTAAACGCTGTATGTCCGTCTGTAACTCTGTCCCTCCGTCTGTAACTATGTCCCTTTGTCTGTAACTCTGTCTGTCTGTTCCTCCATCTGTAACTCTGTCTGTCTGTCCCTCCGTCTGTAACTTTGTCCCTCCGTCTGTAACTCCGTCCCTCGGTCTGTCCGTCCGTCTGTCCCTCCATCTGTAACTCTGTCTGTACGTGTGTCGGTCCCTCGGTCTGTAACTCTGTCCGTCTGTTCCTCCATCTGTAACTCTGCCCGTTTGTCTGTCCCTCCCTCTGTAACTCTGTCCCTCCGTCTGTCCCTCCATCTATAACTCTGTCTATCGGTGTGTCTGTCCCTCCGTCTGTAACTCCGTCCCTCCATCTGTAACTCTGTCCGTGTGTCGGTCCCTCCGGCTGTACCTCTGTCCCTTTGTCTGTAACTCTGTCTGTCCGTGTGTCGGTCCCTCCGGCTGTACCTCTGTCCCTCGGTCTGTACCTCTGTCTGTCCGTGTGTCGGTCCCTCCGTCCGTCCCTCCGCCTGCCGCCGGTGCCAGCCGCCCCGGTGCCCGGGGAGCCGCGGGCGGTGAGTACCGGAGGAGGGAGCGGGGCGGGCGCGGGGGAGCAGCGGGGTCCGGCTCGGGTCGGGACGAGCGGAGGAGAGGAGAACGCACATGGCAGCCACAAGGAGCTGGCCGGGAATGCGCCGGGACCCCGGGGCTGGACGGGAATGTGGCGTTCAGGGCTGAGTTGTTGCTGGTTGTTGCTCTCACTTCCTTTCCGCCCTGCCGAAATGTTGCCTTGGCTTCCGAAGCGCTCAGCGCACCCCGCGGTTTCAGGGGGTACACCGTCTGAGGGGTTCTTCCTGCAGGCTTTTATTAATTGTGTTGCATTTTCCTAATTAAAACGCAGCAACCAGCGCGATCGAAGTCCCGGCGGGTTTCCATTGGGATCTCTCCCAGCCCTGTGGATGTTGGGATGCAGTTGGGATGCCCCAGGCTGAGCTGGCAGCTTCTGCCTGAGGAAATAATCCCTTTGTGCCCATCCTCAGTGCTCCACCTTTCCCTGCTGACAGAAAAGCTGGGAGAAGCACCCCAACACAGGAATAACTCGCTGAAAGCCTTGGCAAAGTCTCCCTGAGAAATCCGGGTGGGATGGATGAAGGCTGCTGGAGGGGTCTGCTTCGGGGCATGCTCCGCTGCCCTTGGGAGGTGACACAATTCCCTGGAATATCTGGCTGCCAGCAGGGAGCTGATTCCATGGGACCTTCCCCAAAAATGCAGGACACTGCTGCTGCTCGGGAGAAGTGAGGAGATCCCATATTTAGCGTAGGAGCACATCCCATATTTCACAAAAGCGAGATTTTGTTGTCCAGCTTTGCAGGTTTTCCCCACATGAATGGATGGCTGCTGGTTCCTGTGCCAGAATTCAGGCAGCTCAGTTTCCACATGTGTTCCTTAAACGTGGTTTTCATTATTCATGCTATTTTCAGTCCTTTGTGGAAATAAATGTTTGTGGCTTGACTGTTTTGCTGGAGGATATGAAGGATTCTGTCCAATTCCAAGGTGCAGGCAGTGTTGTTCCAGTGCTTATCTGGGTGTTATCATGGTAATATTGAATTTCCTTGTTCATCCACAACAGTAAAGTCTTTATTTGAAAAAGGTCGTTGTCCAACAAGAGAAAGGTCAAAGATTTAGTAGTCAAAATGCTGTGATATTCTTTCCTGTTATATTAGGGGGCACATTTTCTAAGGGCCCAGGTCTGGTTCAATTTGTGTGGAACTTGGATTTCTGATTCACCTGCATCTTCTTTACAATTTTCCAGAAATCCCTCATGTCTTTTTAGATTATAGGTTTTAGTTTTTAGTGCATGTAAATTCTGTCTAGAAAGGGGTACATGAGGGTGGAGGGTGACCACATACAGTGATAACTTAAATGTAGAAAAATAAGGAAAACTGAGATGGGTGTTGTAGAAAGAATACTTTTGATTTAGTTTCTACTCTGAAATGCTCACATCTGAAGTTTCAGCTTGTGGCAGTTCTTTCAGCAGGTGAGTGAGCTTCACAATCCATTTTTCTCTTACTCTCAAGGTGACTCTGATGTGCTGCAGACGAATGGAGTCCAAGCCAGCCCTGGGCTGCAGGTAGGGAGCCCTAGGGCTCCCCCAAAAACAGAAGCCAGGCAGATGCTGCCACATGATGGGATTAGAAAGAAGGGCCTAGATGGGCTCCAGAAATAGTCTGGAGGTCTGATGGTTTTTAGAGACTGCAGGCCCTCCCCTGTATCTTAATTCTATGGCAGTCAGTTGATAACAGATACTGGAAATTTCCTCAGTTCTGTCTTGTAGTTTTTTTATCTTAAGTGAAGTTTGTGGCAGTGAGACGCCCCCTGAAAGGCCAAAAGGAGTGATAAAAGTGAATTCTAGGTTGTGTGTAAATAGCAGCTTTCAGAATAAAAACCACAGCAGCTCCTTTTTCAAGTTAAATGTACAGAATGTCCTTCAGTGTCCAAACCATGAACCAAAGATGTTTTCTCAGTTTTTTTTTTTTAATGTGTAAGAATAAAATCCAGTATTATTAGACAAGCCTGGGTTAACAGTTACAAAATTAATACAGGGCAGTGCTTTGAGTTAGAAAAGGGTGAAATGAGTGTTGGAAATTGTGTCATTTCCCACTGTCCTGACGTGGCAAGGGGCAGGGACTGTGTGCTGAAAGGTCCTTTTCATGGCATGGAGAGAAAACTGACATGCAAGTCAGCACAAAGAGCCAGTATGTGCTCAGAGTTCTGGAGCCAAAAAGGTTTTTACTTAGAATATTTCCCTACTGTCTGGACACGACTGAAACCCAGGCACCCCCTCCCATGCAGATATTTTACAGCAGCACCAAACTGAGCTGTCTGGGGTTTGTCTTGGCACATTTCAGAAAATTCCCAGGTTTGAGTGAGCTGCCTACAAGTCTTAGAGGAGGGACAGAAGGAATCAAAAGAATTCTCACTCCTGAAATCTTTACTAAAATCTCAAAAAACAGACTAATTGGTACACATAAAAAGTAGTCTGACTTGATTTTTTTTTTTTTCCCTCAGCTTTTACAGTGTTGATTTGCTGAGCTTTGGGTGGGTGAGAGGCCTTTTGATTTGTAACTCTGTGCTGGTAAAACAAATAAAACGTCTTGAGCAAATACAGCTCCAAAATGTACTTCTGCAAAGTAGAGCTGACACAGGCTTTGTAATGCTCCCTCGATTCTCACTGTGTGTTTGGGGGGTTGTGAGGGCTGTAAATCATCCCTGAGCACCATTTGCAGTCCTGTACAGGTGGGGGAGATTGGAAACCTGCAGGGTCGGGGTGGGGGTCTCCTCCAGGTGTGATCACTGTATCATCTTCAGCACGTCCCTTCTTGCAGTGCAGGTTTTTCTTTTAAAGATCCTGATTCTTCGTGTGGCACTCAGTGCTCTGTTCTGGGGACAGGGTGGCCACTGAGCACAGCTTGGGCTGGGAGGGCTGGGAGGGCTTTTCCAGCCTCAGTGATCCTGGGATGTTGCAGCAGGGAGGAATACAGCCCCTGTCACACAGAAAATCCATCCCTGCTGCTGCCATGGTTTGGGGGCTGTGTTTGAAACCCTCCTTTCAGTACCAGTTCAGGCACAGCCAGCAAGAGAGGCTGGGTTTGTTTTTTGGGAGGGTGCAGGAGCTCACCCACCAAAGAGATGCTCCGTGTCTGGGTCTGTGCTGAGTGGAAATACCTTTGGGAGTCCCAGCTTGGAGCCGGAGATGAAACAGAAACTCAGAAACTCCTCCCTGGTGTTTTCTGCCAGCATCTGCTGTGTGTTGGCTTTAGATATGTCTGCAGCTCCAGGGACAAGGACACCACAGCTGGATTAGCTGGGTGGAATTATTTTCTAATTAGTTCTAGAAGTCTCTGAAGAAGCCATTCTAAATATTAAGTTCTGTAGCTGGTTCTGCCCTTTGGGTTCCTTCTGCTCAGGCTGTCCTAAGGCAGTAGGCACCACACAAAGTCACTCCTCTCACTTCTCCCTCCCATATCTTTGGAAATTCACACTGCAGGGATGGTAGCAGGGAGTGTTTTAATTAGGAAATATTTCTGTACCAATAGGGCTGTCCAGCCCTGGCACAGCTGCCCAGGGAAGTGCTGGAGTCCCCATCCCTGCAGGGATTTAAGACTTTAGATGTGGCACTTGGGGACGTGGGTTAGTGGAGGCCTTGGCACTGCTGGGAGTGGTTGGACTGGGAGATCTCAGAGGGATTTTCCAGCCTGAATGACTCCACAGTTCTGTGATGCTGTAACTGCTTGTGAAATGCTGATCAACTGAACAGGCAGACTCAAGTGGCATCCTTAGCACTGCCAGTTCCAGTAGCAATTTATTAATCGGTGCAATTAATTCAGGACAACTGGACAATTAATTGGGCAATTAATTCAGCAGTGAACGGTCCCTGGACAGTATTCTGGCTGACGTTTGCACTGCACGGAGGGGACGTGAGCAGCACATCAAATCCACATTGTCACCATTGTCACTGCCACCCTGGGACTGCAGTGCCAGAAAGGGAAGCCTGGCAGTGACACTTCTCAGGGTTCTCTTGCTGGGTCTCACCCCAGTGAAATGGCCTCACTGTACTGCTGGTACTGGGGCTTAAGGAGTTTCCTGGAGAATTCTGGATGTTTCTGCAGGTGGGAGAGTCTCTTGGTATGCTCAAGTTTCATTAGGGTTCGTCTCATCAAGGTCTCGCTCTTTCCTAGTCAGGCAATATGTTCCCAATATTAAATTAGTGATATAATTACCCTCTTTTATTGTCTGTGGGCAGCTTGGTCTAGAGCACCAGTTCCAGCAGAAGTGTCCCACCTACCTATCACTGTGCCCATTAATGTGTTTTCCACTTCTGTACGTTATTTTGAACAGGTGCAATTTCCTTGTAAAACCAGTTTTGCAAAAGTGGGAAGTGTTTATTTTTTTAGTGTGTCATTGGCTGTAAAAAAGCCACTTCTTAGGTAACAAACCTTTACAGTATTTGGCAGGCAAAATCACTGCATTAAAAAAGAAAAAGAAACAAAAACAAACAAAAAGAAACAAAACCCCTGAAAACCAACCAAACAAAAAACCACCAAAACAAACAAACAAACAAAACCTAAACAAAAAAACCCACAGGAGATGTAGACCGAGCTGTGCTTTTCTGGGAATGTCCCACTTGCAGTTAATTTTCAGCAGCTGGAGTGGCTGTGGCACTACAATAACCCCTCTGTCTGGCTTTGCAAGGTGGAACAGGCTGCAGGCAGAGATTTTCTCAAGGAAGCCTCCCAGAAAGGCAGTGCTGCTGCATTCCTGTCCATTTCCCAACCCTGCCAGCAGCAGTGTATTCCACAGGATATCAGCTTCCCTCCTGGGAAAGGTCATTCCTTGCCTCACAGGGATACAGTGAGGAGGCTCCCTTGAGAAAATCCCATTTTCTCAATTCCCAAGCGAGCTGAGAGGTTCCCAGTTTGCTTGGAAATTGCTTTGTCTCTGCTGAACTGACACTTTCAGCCCTTGCTTTTCATAAATGCTGTGTTCAAGCCTCACGTTGTACATTCCTTTTTGATTTAATGCTCTTCCTTTGTGTTTTCAGTGAGTCCTGGTGATGGCAGCGACGACAGAGACCAACCATATCCATGCAGTGATGGAAGGGCCAGAAGGAGATGATGCCAAGTGCAGTTTCCATCACACAATGTTCCTGGAACCCCAAGAGAAGAAGAGGAATGTGAAGGCTCTGCTGGTTAAGCAAGCAAAGGAAACTTGCAGCTGCACCCCAGCCAAAATTAAAGATTGCGTTTTGGGGTTTTTCCCCATCTTACAGTGGCTTCCTAAATACAAACTCAGGGAGTATCTCCTGGGGGATGTAATGTCTGGTGTGATCGTGGGGGTCCTGCTGGTCCCACAATCCATTGCCTACTCCCTGTTGGCAGGGCTGGAGCCCATTTATGGCCTTTACACCTCCTTTTTCTCCTGCATCATTTACTGCATCTTCGGCACCTCCCGCCACATCTCCGTCAGCATCTTCGGCGTGGTGTGCCTGATGCTGGGGCAGGTGGTGGACAGGGAGGTGGAGAGGGCTGGCTACCAGCTGCAGCCAGCTGTGCCCAGTGCCGTGCCAGGCCTGGGAGGGCTCGGGAACGGCAGCAGCAACGGGACAGAGCCGCTCTGTGACAGGGGCTGCTACGCCATGGCCGTGGCCGCCACCATCACCTTCATCTCCGGCGTGTACCAGGTAAGGGCAGCTGCTCTGCGTCCCTCCTGGGTTGTGGTTTGGTTTTTAACGCAGTGATTTCGCCTGCCTGTAAAGGTCTGTTACTTAAAAAGTGGCTTTTTTACAGCCAGTGACACACTGAGAAAAAAAGCACTTCATGCTTTTGAAAAACTAGTTTTACAAGGGAATTGCACCTGGTCAAAATAATGCAGAGAAGCGGGAAACACATTAATGGGCCCAGTGATAGGTAGGTGGGATATTGTAAATGCAGGTGAACCCAACGGGAAGGAATGACGATGTCTGACTCAATTCAGAAGGCTGAATGATTTCTTTATTATAACTATGCTAAAATACATTAATATACTATATATAAGGAGGATACTCAAACTACACACTACTTTCTCTGACTCTATATATAATCCTCCACAACTGGTGACCCTCTCTGAGAGTCCAGCTCCAGGTGGGTTGGATTGGCCACCAGGCTCAAACAATCCTCACCAGAATCCAACCAAACATTCATCCCAGATAAACAATTCTCCAAACACATTCCACATAGGAAAAACAAGGAGCAGAAATAGGAATTGTTTTCTCTTTAATTTCTCTCTGTTCACCTCTATGAAAAATCCTGTGAGGGAGAGAAATGTGCTTCCACAGTGGGACACAAGAGCTGGAGCTGTTGGCCTCGTTTTAGAGATGGAAATGAGACTAGACATCTGGGGTTTTATGCAGAATATTAAATTTTTTATTATGGAGAGTTCATTTTTCTATGGTATTAGAAGCTACTGTGTTTGAATGTAATTGTTTAGTAGTCTAGTGAAACTGTTCATTGGTTGGTAAGGGTTATTGTATTTCTCTGTCAAACTTTTCTAGTTTTACATAGTTTATATATTTTCTTCTAATATTGTAATATATTAGACTATTATATAGAAGAATATTCTAATATTATGTATTAGAATATAATATATTCTATATTATATAAAATATTATATAGAATATAACTAGAAGAAAATATGTAAATTACTTCTAGTTATTTTCTAGAACTTGCTGCTTGCCTAAATTAAAGCAGGTATCCTTGTTTTTAGAGTCTTATACATTAACCAGAATGGGATTATTTTTAGCTGTACTGCAGAGCTGTGGTATTTGAGTTTGTGAGTTCACATTCATGTGTTCTCATCTGTCCAGGGTGATAGCCAATCAAAATATATAGGAGGGGAACAAAACATGTTTGTGATACTTTAAAACACAGGTTTTGGGCACAACGTGGGACATTTTTGTACTGCAAGTTCCTGTTGAGTTATTTCAGAAATATTCTGGGCCTCCTGGCAACACTGGATTTTGGGTTTCATCTTTCATCCCTGTGGGATGGGTGCAGTTTTGGAGTTGTGAATTGCACTCAATAGTCTTTGCAAGTACAAATACAATTAAGTTTCTTTATCTGAAGAAATCAGATCAGTTTATCTTCAGTCCCTCTGAATATTAGGCATATTCTCTACAGGCAAACACCCTCAATTATGTTTTTTTTTTTCAAACAAAATCACATAGTCTTTGTATCAGAAATTTTACAATCAAATCATAAAAAGAAAATCTTCTCACACCAGTTAATACTAACTAGATAAGCTGATTATTATTGATGTCTTACACTTAGAACAACCTTGAATTAATTATCAAGGCTAGAAGGGAGCCTTTTTGAGAGCTGTGAGCTGATTTCAGCCAGTCCAGGTTGCAAACCTGCCTTATCTTCAGTAATTGAGATTCTTATGGAGTTCCCACTTATCTCTGTTTTTATGATCTGCAGCAGAGGAGTTTGTAGATCACAGAGTTTCTGAGTCAGAGTCACCAGACTTTCTGCAGTGCAAAGGACAGTTGTCACCCCACAAGCTGTGATTTTATTGCAGGCTCTGAACTCCAGTGCAAGGCAGACAAAGGCCACCAGGAAGGTTTTAGATCCTTGCAAAGTTCCCAGAGTTTAGAGGAACAGAAAAAGAAATGGCAAATACAGACAGTATTTCAAATGTGGGGTTTAGTTTTTTTTCCCCCTAGGTTTTTCTATTTTTCTTTTTTTCCCACCAGGGTAATTAGCAGAGCAAACAATAAACATTTGTTCAGGGGATGAAGACCCCCAAAAAGCCTGGTTTGAGTACTGGAGACTTTTCTCCCTGCTCAGACCACGCCTCATCCTGCAGGGCCGTGCACAACGTTGGGTGTTTTTATCCCAGCTGACAAAATCTGTGGGATTTGTGTCCTGACGCGTCGTGTCCGGTTGGTTCCTTCCAGGTGGCCATGGGTTTCTTCCAAGTGGGCTTTGTCTCCGTCTACCTCTCGGACTCGCTGCTGAGTGGGTTTGTCACAGGGGCCTCCATCACTGTCCTGACCTCACAAGTCAAGTACCTGCTGGGCCTGGACCTTCCTCGGAGCGGGGGCGTTGGCTCCATCTTCACCACCTGGATAAACATCTTCAGGAGCATCCACAGGACCAACGCCTGTGACCTCATCACCAGCCTCTTGTGCTTCTTGGTGCTCATCCCAGGCAAGGAGCTGAACGAGCGCTTCAAATCCAAGCTCAAGGCTCCGGTTCCGGTGGAGCTCTTTGTGGTTGTGGCAGCCACTCTGGCATCTCACTTTGGGAAGCTGAAGGAGAATTACGGCTCCAGCATTTCTGGGCACATCCCCACTGGGTTTCTGCCGCCGCGCCCTCCAGTCTGGACTCTGATTCCCAGCGTGGCGTTGGATGCCATCCCCATTGCCATCATTGGCTTTGCCATCACCGTGTCCCTCTCGGAGATGTTTGCCAAGAAGCACGGCTACTCCGTGAGGGCCAACCAAGAGATGTACGCCATCGGCTTCTGCAACATCATCCCCTCCTTCTTCCACTGCTTCACAACCAGCGCAGCTCTCGCCAAGACCCTGGTCAAGGAGTCCACGGGCTGTAGGACCCAGGTGTCCGGCATGGTGACCAGCTTGGTGATCCTTCTGGTCCTCCTGGTGATCGCGCCTTTGTTTTACTCGCTGCAGAAATGCGTCCTCGCCGTCATAACCATCGCCAGCCTCCGCGGGGCCCTGCGCAAGTTCAGGGACCTGCCCAAGATGTGGCACCTGAGCAGGGTGGACACGGTGATCTGGGGGGTCACCATGGCGGCCACAGCGCTCATCAGCACCGAGATCGGGCTCCTGGTGGGGGTTTGCTTCTCCATGCTCTGCGTCATCTTCCGCACGCAGCGGCCAGAGGCGCCGCTGCTGGGCTGGGTGGCCGAGTCGGAGACCTACGAGTCCCTCTCTGCCTACAAGAACCTGCAAACCAAGCCTGGGGTCGTGGTGTTCCGCTTCGAGGCCCCCATCTACTACATCAACAAGGAATGCTTCAAATCCACCCTCTACAAGCAAACTGGGGTTAACCCCATGTGGGTGAAGGCAGCCAAGAAGAAAGCAGAGAAAAGGATGCTCAAGGAGAAGGAGGCGGCGTCGGGGGCCAAGCAGAGCAGCATCCCCAGGGATTTTGGGTCAGAACCTGTGGGGTTTCACACCATAGTGATCGACTGCTGCGCCGTGCAGTTCCTGGACACGGCCGGGATCCGCGCGCTCAAGGAGGTCTGCAAGGACTACGGGGACATCGGGGTCCAGGTGCTGCTGGCCCAGTGCAGCCCTTCCGTCAGGAGCTCCCTGCTCCGAGGGGAGCTCTTCAAGCAGGGGGAGGACCACCTGCTCTTCCACAGCGTGCACCAGGCCGTGGATTTTGCCCTGGGCACACACGGTGCTTCCAAGAACTAGCGCGGAAAGAGAGAGATTGGAACGAAGGCTGGCAAACGTGTCTGTGTGTCTGTGGAATTGATCTGGGTGTGCTCAGGTAGCAGGGCAGGGTGGAGCCAGCGCACTGGTACTGGGAAATCTCTGGATTTACCTGCCAGGGGTGGTGATTCCATGGGAGGTGCTGAATGAAGGCACTTCTTAACTTGATTGTGGCCAATCTGCAGATCTTTACTTTGCGTAGTTCATCTCACAGCTCCTCTCTGGAGCTTTCCGTGTCTCAGTTCCACTCTTAACTTGTGATCAAGTCTTTTTTGCCACCCTGTCCTTGAGGATGGAGTGGGATTTTGGAGTAGTCTGGGCATCCTGTCCAGCTGAAGAATGAGGCAACTAATTTCTCATCCCTCATTGTGGCATTGCTTTCCATCAGCACACCCTTGTGTTTGCCAAGGAATGGCTGCCAGGGACTGTTTGCTCTGGTCTTTGCTGGGCAGTGCTTGAATTTGCAACCTCCCTGAATCTCAGATAGGGAAATCAAATCTAAACATGCAGGAAAATATCTTAATGAATATCTTCTAACCAAGCACCTCTCACCTCCAGAGGTTTTGGCACTGCCTCCTAATTCAGCCAGGCCACAAGGACATGGTTATCTCATTTCTCCACAGGCCTGTGCCCATGGAAATGCTGCCTCTCCAGCTTGATTTTAATGATTTTTTTTTTAATAGATGACTCTTTAGAAGTCTGATTAATTCCTATGGCCAGTCAATTATTTTCCTAATATTTAGGAGCTCTTTAGAACTGTGAACGTTAGATATGGAAAATATCTAGCTCTTTAATTTTAACCAAAAAAAGTCCCTTCTAGGCTGTTTTTTATGCCAGGTACAGAGAATCACAGGCACCAAAGTGAAAAGGGACAAATAGATTATTCAGCATCTGCCCAAATGTGTCCATGTCACACAGACTTTGTGCAGGAATGCAGGATTTATTGGCTATAAACCCTTCGCTCTGTCCTGGACTTTATGCCTTGGGAGTGCACAGACCATTGGAAAAGGAGCCAGGAAAATTCTTTCCTGAGCTTTTTTTTTTAACCAGGTCAGTATAAATAGAGCTTTTTACTTTGATTTTAAATTCTGTGGAAGTGAAGAGTGCCTGTTCTTCATGCTAAAATACAAGGGCAGGATTTTTTACTGCTTTCCTCACAGCAGTAGAATACAATTGTGAAGGCAGAATTGAGAGATTAACAGCTTTTCCTGAATACCAGCTATACACAGCACACATCCCTGGAAGAGGGTGCTTTCCTCCCTGAGGAGTTTACAATCTGAATTTCAGGTGCTTCACAGCTTTTAAAAGGGAAAGGTGCCATGAACAGACAATATTCTCATCCTTAATAATTCAAAAATAATGTGTCAGAAGTAAAAAAAAAGTGTAAAATCCAATATGAACTGTGAAATGTTTACTAAATAGAAAGAGATTTTGAGTTTAAGCTGTTTTGTTGGGTTGGTTTTTTTTTCCTGAGAAAGGACCAGTAACTATTCTGTTCTTTCTGTGAAAGCTGAATGCCACGGAGCACTTCACTCTGGGAGCCTCAGAGAAGGATGAGGCAGCAGGAAGATGAGTCCTTTTTGTGTTAACTGAATTTACTGCATTTTTGAGGACAGCAGAGCAGCATAGAAGTGCTGGGGGAGGTGAGGGAAAAGGAGACCCTCACTGATACCCACCCATTGCACATCCTAGAACTGGCACTGGTGAGGAAAGAAGCCTCTGTGTGTCGCTGGATAAAATCTGTTCAAACTCTGTTCAAACCCCACAGATGTTCTGCCTCAGCCCTGGGGCCTCTTTCTGAAGGAGATGAATCCCAAATTCTGCTGAATTTTTCCCTCGCTGCCATAACCTCCTGTACGAGCATTTTGATTCTGGGCTGAGGATGCTTTGTGCAGTTTGGGGGGCTGTGAGCACTGACCTGGCACTGCCAGGGAGGATTGGGCTCACTCAGAGCAGTGAGCAGGGTCACATTTTTAGGCTGTATTTCAGTTTTGAACCAAACTTGGTTTGTGGGCAGGTTTGTCCCCAGGGGGGTGGCAGTGCCAGGGTCTGGGGAGTCCCTTTGTAGCACAGTTTGTTCACATGATCAGAAAGAATCTCTGGAACTTTGAAGAAAAACCTCCTTTGAAATGCTGATTTTTAACTCCTGTTTTGCCAGAGGGCAGAGCAGGCTAGAAGCACAGAAAGTGCTGATGAAAAAGGACAGCAGGTGGTGGTTGCAAATGTTTTATTTGTTATTGCAAATATTCCTGCCTGCCTGCAGCTGCTTTTTCTCACCCCTTTGCTCTGAAGCATGGGCAGGACACAGGAGAGGAGGAAGATCAGGGCAAATCAACCACCAGTGGGACAAAAGTCAAATAAAAACTGCTTTGGGTGATTCTTGCCTCTTCCTCTCTCCCCCATGTTCTTTCCATGCTGCCCAGGTGGAGATTTTTTTCACCTGTGACCGTGAGCATGTTTGTGTAACCAAACTCCAAACCTTTAGTTATTGAAAGATGGTTTTGCAAATCCATTCTTACCATTCTTGCCAGGAAGGGAGGAAAGCAGTGTTAACTCCAAAAAGGACCCACTTCCCACGAGTAGTGAGATGTGTATTTGTGGCTCCTGGGTATTTATTTACATAAAAGCACAATAAAACAGTAATAAAATTATTTTTCAGGTAATTAAATTATATCTAAAAGATGTGCTGAACATTACCTGGAGCATGTTGCATTTGGCCTCAGTGCTGTTTGTGCAGCCTCCAAGTTTCATTTCTAGCGAAACACAAGAAACTATTAAAATGCAACAGCAAAAGCAGCCAAAAAACAAACAAACAACAAAAAAAACCCAAAAACAAAAAAACCAACTTTTAATGCTCTTATTTAAAATTAATAAGTATCAACTAATGCACACTGCCCTGGCTAAAAGGGAACTGAAATAAATGCCATTTGTCAGAGAGTTCAGTGCAATAGGGAGTTGTTGGGAATTAACTGGAGATTAAAGCTTATTATGGCTGGAATTTCTTAGAACAAGGGGTTTCAGCCCTGTTCCTCTTGGGCCTGGAATTGTTTTTTAGCAGTGACATGAATCTGATTTGAGCCTACTGGCAAGCAACACATTTTACTTGACTTTGCTTATGGACACTTTGAAGCAATCCAATTTTATCTTTAGGAATCTGGGATCACTGATTGGAAACGTTTCCTCTAAAGCATTTGTTTTATAAAGGAATCCATATATTTATATATTTATATTTTGCTGCTGTGTGATGGATGCAGCAGCTGGATCTCTCCATTTATCCTTTTGTGATATTCCTCTCCTGCCTTCTGCTGTTTTAAATGAAATGTGGTGGGCACGTGGTTGTTTTTTTAAGGGGAAATCTGCCATACTCACAGCTCCCTGTGCCTTCCCCCATCCCCTGGAGTTGTGAATTTGGGAAGAACCATTGGGTTTGGGCTCTCCATCACCTGGAGCAGGGATGTTCCTCCCAGGTGCAGAACCCCAGGCCAGACTGGAAGCTGGTATAAATCAGTTCAGCTCTGTTCCCAAATGTCCCAATCAGCAATTATCAGTTTTAATGAAGAATTAAGAGATCATTAGCACGTTCATTAATGACAACAACAGCGCATTATGGAAATGAACTCTCGGTCTCAGCTGCACTGGAAATCTCTTTAGCACTCTCCTGCTGAATGCCAGGCTCTGTTTTTTCCTGGAAATGTTTCACCTGTCTGGGTGTTCTGACACAAAACCCATTTTCAGTCCCCCTCACAAAACAGGGACTGGCACTGCAGTGGGCACGGGGGGCTCATTTTGGGTTTCACAGTGACACTGCCAGGCTGGGATTCAGTGATGCTGATTTCCTGCAGGACCAGCCTCCACCCTCCTGCTGCTCCTTCCTGTGTTTTGCTGCAAGACACCGAATATTGACTGTAAACAGAAGAAGCTGTGTGTGCTGCTGTTCCATGTGACCTGCTGCTCAGTTTTCATGATCTTTTGATAAAGCCAAAGCTCCTGAACAGTGAACTGAGTGCCCAGGGTGGGGACAGAGGTGCTGCCACCAGCCCCTGCCTCAGTGCTGGGCTCACCAACCACAGGTTTGTAGGGAAAATTTGATTTTATTCCCGTCCTGCCCTCAGTTCTGTGTCCATCCCCTGCCTGGTGGTGGCTCTCTCTGTGTCCTGTCCTGTCTGAGCTGTACCCATTGCTGTTTTTACTGTTCATGTGCCTTTTTGGCACTGGAGATTTGTTAGCATGAGATTTTTCTGTCAAATCTGGTAAAATCATTGGGATTTCTTCAGCACGATTAAAAGATGATATTTATGGGGTTTTTTGTTGTCACTGACTGATGGCACTTTCACCTTGCTCTGCCCCAGCTGCTCTGTGCAGCCAGGACAGGGTTTGTGGTGGCATTAATAGCCAAAATCAGCGTGTGGGGACAGTGATGTGCCATGTGCCAGGGAGCAGCACCCTCCTGTGGGCCAGGACTGAATTCCTGAGGTGTGGAAATTGCCAGGTTTGGTGCTGCTTGCACTTTACAGTAGGTGTAGTTACAGCTCCTGCTATCACACACTCAGCCTTGCAAAATTGCTGCCGTGTGCTTCAGCGTTCCTTGAGATAAATCAAGCTGTGCAGGGAGGTTTAAGTTGGATTTTAGGAAAGTTTCTTATTCCAGAGGGTGCTGGCACTGCCCAGGCTCGGCCCCAAGGCTGCCAGAGCTGCAGGAGGGTTTGGGCAGCGCTCCCAGGGATGCCCAGGGTGGGATTTTGGGGCTGTGGTGGGATTTTGGGGCTGGACTTTGATGGTCCTTGTGGGTCCCTTCCCTTGGACTCTGGGATTCTCTCCCAGGTCCTGTGCCTTGCTCAGGTCATGGCCAGGACGAGCCAGAAAAAACCTGCGAGCAGCTGTGAGGGCAGTTCTGGGCAGGTCCTGTGACATTTCTGCAGGGGTGTCCTTGACTTGTGGAAAAGACTTTCCTGGCCCAGCATGGCTCAGCTTTTACCTGAGGATGCCTTTTACCTCAGGGGACCTCTGTGCACAGGCTGCACTTTCTGTGTTGGTGCCAGCAGAGTAGAAGGAGCACTGGGTGGTGGAAATTCCTGCAGGAGTTTCCTCCTGGAAAGCAGAGAACAAGGCTGGCCTGCAGCAGAGCGAGTCTGGCTCCCAGCTGAGGCAGCCAGCCACGTTACCTGGGCTGCTTTAGGCTCTGCCTCACCTGCTGTGAAAAACTCCAGGCGCTTGGGTTTTAAAAGTTTAAAAGTTTAATAAAAATAAAATGGTTATAAAAATAGTAATACAATTAGAGTAATCAAATTTAGAGTTAGGACAATTGCAAGACAATAAAAAGCAAAGAATTATGGATGTCGAGATGCTCTTGGGCACTTAAGCCATGACAAGTGTGCCTTGTGAAGAAAGGAATCACCCTTAAAACCGTACACTTGTTGCATATTCATACATCCTTCATGGTTATGCATACATTCTATTTAAAACAAGAAACTCTGTCTGGGATATGTCAACTCCTTTTAATCCCCATGGCATCTTCGAGTCTGAGCAAGGTCTGAAGAAATTAGCTTCTTCTGATAAGAAAACCATAAATTCCTCTTCTCTGGAGGATTTAGGTGTTCTGTGACTGTTATCTCTAAGTATCTCATTCTTAAGAAAAAAAAAAAACCCAAACACATAAATAGTTTCTATTTTAAGTACAAAACTATATTTACCATACTATTAAAATGTTCATGCAGCACTTCTAATCAATATAACACAACACATATAGTATTCAATTTAATATTTGCAAAAAGCCAATCATAAAATACTCATTTTTCACAGCTGGCAATAACTCATCCTTGCCTGTAAAACCAAAGGGATGCATTGACACAGCAGCACAAACTTCAATTTGCTGCATTTGCCTGTTGCAAAATGCCAGGATAACAATCACATGCACAGGAAATTCCATGTTTTTTGCTAACTTTAGGCTAGAAACCAGCAAATGCCACTCCTGCATGTCCTTGTGCCTGGAGCTTGTTGGCGCAGCTGTTTCTCACCTGGCTGCAGTGGCTGTGGCGTGGATGGATGTTAAATTGCTCCCACACCGTGCCAGGAATAAAAACTGTGGATTTCATGCTCTGGGAAGCAGAGGGGCCCTGGCAGTGCAGGCAGGGTCCTGTCCCCACCTGCGCTGTCCAAACCCATCTGTGCAGCTCCAGGATGGAGCGAGTTTATAGTGGCAATAAAGAACAAGCCTTGAAGATGCTTTTGGAAACAAACTGTTTCAGCTGGGCTGACCTTGCGTGGGGAAGGCAGCACAGCCTTGGGTGCCTCAAGGTCACCTGGAGTTCCCTGGTGGGTTTCTTTTTTTTGTTGTTTTTTTTTGGGGGGGGTTGGGGTTTTTTTGTTGTTTTTTTGTTTTGTTTTGTTTTGTTTTGTTTTGTTTTGTTTTGTTTTGTTTTTGTGATGCTTTTCCCACAGCAAATGTGAAGCTTTTGTGTTTCCTGCCCTTGCCTTGGTTCATGCAGAAAAAAGAATTACAGAGATGTCCACAGTGTCACCAAGGACATTCTCAGCTGGAATTCCAGCAGGGACAAGGAGCTTGAGAACTGCAAGAAGTGTGGAATATTTTAAAGTAAAGTATGGAGTATATTAAAATAGATATTTATTAATTGAGTATACAAAAACAACTGGGAATTTGAACACAAGAAAGGGGAGAAAAAAGTTATAGGAGAAGATGGCAGGGAAGGCTTGGAGAGAGGGAAGAGCAGGGCTTTGTCAGGGCTTCCCAGGATTTATCAGGGCATAAAGGAAATCTCAATAAATAAAAGAGCTCCAGAATATATAAATGAAGATGGAATTGGAAAGGAACAGCAGTGGCAGCAGGCTGGAGGCCGAAGGTAACCTAAATCCTGCCGCAGGTGGAAAAAGTGCTTCACCCCATTTTTGTGGTGGTCAGGGCAGAGATGCAGAGCTGGATCTTCCTAAATAAGATCAAACCCAAAGATGGATTGTGCTCAGCCGTGTTTCATCCCAGGGAACAATCAGGCTTAAAAGTGCAGCCTGGCCAGCTCTTCAGTGGCTGACTCATCACTTCTTCAGTGGATTTCAAGATGAAGGATTCCCAGAGAAAATGGAAATTTGGGTCATTTGCTGGGGAAGAAGATAGAAAAAGAAAATGAGTGAGTAGATACCACATCATCCAGGCCAAGGCACAAAATGAGCTGTGACTGGGAACAATTATAAAGCTTCTGAAAGGAAAAATAGAGTCTGTTACTGAGAGCAGGGGGAGGGAAAGGGGAGCTCTCAACGTTGCACCTGAAAATACATGAGCTGTGGAGGAATGGCAGAGAAAAAAAAGAATTGATATAAATAGATAAAAAGATTGAGCAGCTGCCTCCCTACCATGTGCTTTCATTTTCTCCTGCTGCCAGAGAACACGGATGTTCCTTATTTATTTACTCCTAATTACTGAGATCCAGACTTCCCCTGATGAGATAAATGTAGCTCAGGATGCTGGTTTCCCCCTTCTCTTCCCTCAGGGTGTCTCCCCAGCATCTGCATCCAAACCCTGTGGGATTCCACCTCTCCATCCCCAGCCCAGCTCTCAGCCCTCTCCGAGGTGCCCGTCTGCCAGGAATTTATCCAGCTGCAGGCACATCCAGCAAAATCTGGACTGGGTCAGTGGAAAAGAGACAGAAAAGAAGGGGGCAGGACAAGGGGAGTGTGTGCTGAGGGGTCTGGTGCAGCTTGGTGGCAAAGCTGACAAGGGCAGAGCAGTTCCAGCTGGTATTTATGGGGCTGCTCTTTCCACTCAGGGTGATGAACAATCCTTTTTTTCCTGGCTGCTGCTGCAATTGCTCACCTTTACCTACCAAATAATACAACCCTGCTCTTTTCTCAGTTGTGTTTGTGCACAGCAAAGCCCCTTGTTATGTGTGCTGAAAGGCTCTGGAAAATGGGAATTGTGCAGACTGGACACATCCAAAGTTCTGCTGTCTCCCTGAAATAACCTGTGTCACCACAGCTTTGCTCTCTGCTTTACACAGCCTCTGTGGAGGAAAAACTGCCAGGAAAGGAAAGTCATTCTGGAACAAACTTTGCTTCTTGGGTTTTAGCACAAAAGCTTGTCCAGAATAGATGAAAACCTGAGCAGAGAAGCCCAGCAGGACCTGAGCTCGCCCAGTTCAGAGAGGGACAGAGCAGGGAGGTTTCTTTCCATGGTTCCCCTTGTTTAGCAAACACTTCTCCAGATCCAAGCACTCCTCTTATCTGCCAGGAGCACTTCTCTAAACCCTCTCAATCATTCTTGGTGTCCAGAACAAGTTGTCAGCCAAAATACTCTCGGGGAATGGTGTTTGTTTCCCAAACACAGCTCTGCTTGGTGGCTGCACCTTTTCCAGCGCCTGGACAGAGATAAAAGAGACTTGGCCTGGCTCAGGAGCTCAGATCCCACGGGAGGTGGCACCTGGGCCAGGTTTTCCTCTGCCCAGGGCTGCTGCCAGCTCTGTGCCAGGGGACAAGCTCCAGGTGCCGAGGAAAGCCCCAGTTTGCAGCCCGAGGTAAGATCTGGTGATGTGCAGGGCAGGGAATGGGATTTCTCCTCATCCCAGTTCAGCTCCAAACCACAACCACTGGGGGTCTCCCCTCAGGAGTGTTTTTCTCTCTGTGTTGTTCAGTTGTCACAAAAAGGTTTTTTGGTGCATTTTGACTGAAAAAAGTTGGATTAGCTCTGGAAGGTCTCTGTGACTTAACCAGCCTGAAAAAGCAGAATAGCACATGGGAGCTCCTGTTTGATGCAAGCCGCTAATGCAATTTAAAACTATGTAATGTTGAAGGAAAACTAATTTGCAAATTATCTCTGTTACCCACATCTTGATTCCTAAAGTATCCTTCGGAATATCTTAACCTTTCCCAGAGAAGTTTTTTGCCTAAGTAGCGGTGTCTTGGCAGAAGGAGTTTTAGTTGGAGTGAAATTCAGTGAAATTTCACTGCAATCCAGTGAAGTTCCTGTTTCAAACCAAGAGGGATGGGAAAGGAGCACGGGAAGCTCTGCACCTCTGCCCCTATTTGTGGGTTGTGGTTAATCAGCTCCGGAAGTGACAACAAATGAATCAACCTTGGGAAAAAGCTTTTGGTGCATTTGTCTGAGGTAATGGTGGATGATGTGGTACCTACTCTCTCATTTAATAAATTTATTTATTTATTTATTTATCTGCCCATGCCACGAGCCCTGGAACTAAGCAAAGCCCTCTGTTTAATAAATTTATTAAACTCGCTCATTTTATTTATTTATTTATTTATTTATTTATTTATTTATTTATTTATTTATATGCCCA